CCAATTTAGAACGAAATAGTAGACAACATCATTTACAAGACTTCAATATATAACCACAAGAAGCAAAAGGTGAAAACAGCCACCTCGGATAACAGAAAGAAAAAACTTATACCATCTAACTCATGAATAGCATCCTGAGCATCCCTTTTGTCATCAAAGTCGATAAATGCATAACCTGGAGGTCGTCGGGCAACCCAAACACTGCAAGTACAACAACAAACAATCCAAATGAACTAAGAGCCAACCACAGAGATAACACCAACTTCTGATACAACAGCATCATTACTGTGCTATCCATACTGCAATTGAAGCACGATTCTCAGATGTAAAAAAGCTGTGGATAGGAAAGGGAACAAATAATCAGTAAGAGTTGAACCTTCTGATCACACCGAATTTCCGGAATTCATCCTCAAGCTCGCGCTCACTAACCCGAGGATCCAAATTACCCACGTAGACACGAGACATTGCGTCAATGAAATCTGCCGAAACAAGAAGCAACGAAAGGTCAAACAAGAACCACAACAGCTAACTCTTCCCCGTAGCCAGCCGAAGCTCAAGAGCTTCGTGATTCTGACATCTATCACAAAAGACTTGAACCTTTCGAGAAACCCCCAAAAAGGACGACGCAAAAACATATAGACTATCGGCAGCGCGCTAAACCATGAAAATGACAAATTCAAAATCTTCGCCGAATCAAAGATGGCGCTGTCAGCAAAGCGGAAGTAAGTTTTTCGTGAGAGTTACCTGGCGAGAAGAGGAAATCGCAGACACGAGAGTGGACGAGAAAACCCTAGCTGTTCAGTTCCGCTTCTCCTTCCTCTTCGTTTCTATTTGGTCCGCGACTCTTTTGAGATGAGAGGTTTGAGAGAGAGAGAGAGAGTGTGTGTTTGATTATGTGGCCCGCCTCTTCCTAGTGAATCCCACAGCGTGATTGGGCGAACTCGCAAGTCGGAAAGCAGACAGATATCGGGCCGGTCTTCGTTCCCTTGTGGGCTGGGCTTCGGTGGCATGATCTTGGGCGGGCCTTAGGACCCTAAGAAAGACTTTACCGGGTCGTTTGCTTGAGGGTTTTGGTGATGGATTTGGTCATGGAAATCTATCCATCATGGACTTTAACGAAAATCCATCGTTAAAGTTCCACCTCTTGAGGTGGGATTTGGGTGATGGATTAAAATCCATGATGGTAAATTACCTTTCTACCCTTACTTATTACTTTAATTACAAAGTTGTCCTACTTTAATTCAATGGCCATGCAAGTATAAACTTTTATAATGTCGTATTTTATATATATGAGAATTTTTCATTTCGTTTTGTAATATCATAGTTTATTTAAATATGAATGTATATGTGATTTGTTAGATTCAACTATAAACATCTTATGCTCGTCTTGTGCATTATTATTTGATTGATTGTCGGATTCCAAAATCGGGGAGTTAGCAAGAAGTTGATGAGTTGTAGCAATAAAGCGAGCAATTGGTTGCAATTGATACATAATATTGCGTACATTATTAGATGAGTTGTTAATTAGTGCCAAACTATAATACATTTCTATATTTGTAGTTGAATTATTAGTCCACATAGTGGTAAAGAGTTTAAAATTTCATTGTATGCGTTGGATTTTTTTAATGAAATTTATGGATTATAATATAGAAATATAATTAGATAAGATAAGGGTAACGAGGTAATTTGAATTTCATATCCACAAATCTATTCAAACAGAATCTATAATCAAATCCAACAAACAAACAATAGACTTGGTCAAATCCATAATGCCACTTAATCCATCATATATCCATGGTTTTCCAAAACCCAAGTTTTACCAAAACCCTCATTTTTCAAATCCATGAAGCAAACGACTCGTACATTCTAGAGGTGACGGTCTTTTCTTTTCTTTTCTTCGGAAGTGCTACCCTTCTTTGTGCATGGTCAAACCAGACAAATGGAAGGTATTTTGCATGTTAAAATTGCCTACCGAGTTAGATTTCGATAAACACTTTTTTCCCCCCCTCGTTCGGACCATCGTTAGATAGAATTTGACAAACACCGCACCAAATCGCGAGATCCCGTAGAAGATGATACTAATGGATGTTTGTCATATAGCTCGTGTCTTCAGACACTACAAAAAAAAACAGCTGAAGTGACAATTTAAAATTCAGTCAAATTGTCATTAAAAGGTAGAAAAATGTCACAATAGTGTTGTACTGACGTTTTACATAAATGTCACATAAATGTCACATAATCTAGTGTCACTAACTTCTTTTGTGACATTTGTTACAATTGTCAGTACCACTCTTGTGTGACGTTTATTTTACATATTGCGACACTTATAATCGTAGCATAATAACATCTTTTGTGACATTTTAAAGCGTCGTAAGTGATGCAAATAGTGACATTTCTAGAGACATATCAAACTGTTATAGTTAATACCAATAGTGACATGTCTTGTGACATTTCAATATGTCATAGCCCATCTCAATAGTGACATTTATAAGGACATGTTAATATGACACGATTGATACAAATAGTGACATTTCTCGAGACATTCATAATTGTCACAGTAGATCCCAATAGTGACAATTTCTAAGGACATATCAAAGTGTCATAGTAAATACATATTGTGACATTTCTCAGGACATTCCAAAGTGTCATGGTTGACACCAATGGTAACATTTACCGCGACATTTCCATATGTTATAGCCCATCTCAATAGTGACATTTTTAAGGACATGTTAATATGTCACGATTGATGGAAATAGTGACATTTCTCGAGACATTCCTAATCATCAAAGTTAATACAATTAGTGACACTTTTTGTGAGATTCCAATATGTCACAGTTGATCCCAATAGTGACATTTCTAATGGCATGTCAATGTGTCATCGTAAATACAAATGGTGACATTTCTCAAGACATTTCAATGTGACATAGTAAATACAAATAGTGACATTTCTCATAACATTCCAAAGTGTCATAGCTGATACCAATAGTGACATTTACTGTGACATGTCAAACGTGTCGTGGTTGAAACAAATAGTGACATTTTTTACAACATCATATGTGATATGACACTACAACAAAACAGTACATTAGCGACGGTTTTCTGGGCAGTTAGTGAGGATCAATACCGCTAAATATTTTCACGACGGCCAACCAACCGTCGTTGACCCCGCCGTCCTTAAATAATTTTGTGACGCTTTTGGTCGACCGTCGAGAAACTTTAGAGACGGCCGTAACCGTCGTTATCTTCAAAGAACCTGTCGTTAAATAAATATTCCCATAAATGAATTAATGGCCTTGGCGACGGTTAGAAAGGCAACCGACCGTCGCGAAAATGCACTTTTCCATTTTTTTTTTAATCGCCTGCTCCAATGGCCACACCTCAAACCTGCTGGAATATTTCTGAATATAAATATTTAATATATTTATTCAAATCAACATTCATTAAATTCTAATACCATCAAATTTGACTTTGAATTACATATCTAAGTTCATTCAATTCTAATACCATCGAATCAACATTCATTCAATTAAACAAATTAAACAATTTATTCAATGTTATAACTTATACCCAGCAAATGAAATCTCCCACTTGCAACTCCTCTTAGCTCCAACTTTCCTTCATTAACTGGCAACCATGCACACACAGCCCATTCGAACCACTTAATTACCTGAGTACCACAAAGAAATGGGTATTAATTACTCAGAACATCGCACATAGAAGAGAGAATTTAGGTACAGTGAAAACTATGGCTAAATACATACATACATACATACATCTATATTTTGACACTTTTTTAGTGACACTTTTCTAAATGACAGAAAAACGTGTTAATTGCCGTGACAATGGTAAATGTCAACGTTAAATGTCACAATATATATGTTATACTAACATTTCACTCGTGACATTTCTCTAAATGTCAGACAAACAACTAAACTACTGTGACATTTAGTTATGTTACCAACTTATGTCACAAATACTTCTCTATTTTGACACTCTTTTAGTGACACTTTTCTAAATGACAGAAAAACATATTTATTACTACGACAATCGAATATGTCAAAATTAAATGTCACAATAAATATATTATATTGACACTTACCATAAATGTCACAAAAACCTTCAAAGTGAATGGTTTTACTGACATTTTTTTAAACTGTCTTTAAAAACATGTCACTATAGTTGGTTTTTTTTGTAGTGAGAGCAAGGAGATCCCCATGCCATTCCAAGTTGTAAACTCGATGCTAATTAGAAGAGGTTTTCCCCCTCCAACGACCGAAATTACATAACAACATACAGGCACGATCTGTCAAACTCTATAATAGTTAGAAGAAGTTCCCAACAACCGAGTGATAATTATATCTCCCAACATGGGTAAATGACACATTTGGTCACTGAGATTACTAAATCGTGTCATATTTAGTCACTAGAAAAATTTAATATCAATTTTGGTCACTCAAATTACTGACACAGGTCACATTTGGTCACTCTTCTGTAGCCTCTGTCCAACTCCGGTCACTCGAATTATTGAAAATGTCACATTTAGTCACTCGTATTACTGAAACATGTCATATTTAGTCACTCTCCCAAAAGTTTCCGTCCAACTACATTAATGGAGTTGGACGGAAACTGATGGGAGAGTGACTAAATTTGACCAGTTTCGGTAATTCGAGTGACCAAAATTGATATTAATTTTTTCTAGTGACTAAATATGACACAATTTAATAATCTCAGTGACCAAATGTGTCATTTACCCCTCCCAACATTCAGGCACGATGGATATATCGGATTACATTAAACAATTGCCTGTCTTTTTCGTCGACTAGCAATGTGTCGTCCCAGTGCGCCGGCGCCAAAGTAAGAGCAGTTACGTACTGGTAACTATCATTGATGGAATTGATCACTAAGCACATGACGTTGTGTATAAAAACGGTCTCACTTCACTTCAGTTTCCTCATCATTGCCTTCCACCATTGACATATATATATATATAAAGCTTTTCGATTTACAGGTCGCTCCCAGCTGATCGGAAGAATGACAACCGCACGACACTGGATGGCCGCCGTTCTCGTCGCACTCGCAGCGTTCTGCCTATTCTCCGGCCATCCTTGCGCCGGAGAAACGGGCACTGCCACCTTCTATACTCCTCCTTACATACGTAAGACCCCCTTTCATAAACTTTCGACCGCGAGAGGTCATGGTTTGGAATCCTTATATGAACCTCAATAAAAACAATGGTTTAGCGCACACGAGGGATCATTTCTTCCATTTGTGCAGACTGAAAGTTTAATAATTGAACATCTCCCAACCAAATCAGTCAAAATCCTCGTTTATATCTTAAAGTTCTACGTTTTTTACTATTTTACTTAGTTGTTTCGATTCTGATTTCACTATAAAATCTATGGACTTTAAAAATCCTACACTATTCACGATTTTGATTCTTAAAATCTTACGATTTTACGATTCAAATTTTTTTGGTCACTTCCACATGTTTTCCCCTACGCCTATTTTCCTCCTGCTCCACCAACATCATCTAGTTCTCTAACAGTAAATAACCACCATCGACCATCATTAATTCACATCGACGTATTAATCACCATCGATTCACCACTTCTCAACATTAACTTTGATAAATTAGAACATTAACTTTGAGAAATTATTATTGCAAGTGTTATTCATGCTTTTCCTTATTAATATTATTCCTTCTTCATTTTATACGGACCTTAAAATCCAACGATTTTACGATTTGATTTTACGATTCTGATTTTATCTCCATTTTCGATTTCAAATTAAAATCTCGATTTTAACTGCTATATGCTCTCAACAACTCGAGTTATTAAAATCAAATGCCTCTTTGACATATATCCGCAGCGTCGGCGTGTTACGGTAACGTCGAGCAGAGCGAATTCCTGGCCGCAGCAAGTCTGGTTTTTTGGAACGGCGGCGGTGCTTGCGGGAAGCAGTACAGGGTGACATGCTTGAGCGGGACGAATCTAGGCGTTGCGGTGCCGTGCAAAGAAGGCCGGAGCGTAACGGTGAAGATCGTCGACCTGTGCCCTGCCGGCTGCAATGGCACCATCGACTTGTCGGCGGCGGCTTTCGCCGAAATTGCCGATCCCGACGAAGGCAAAATTAACATCTCCTATGAAGAGTACGCCACATATATTGATTAATTATTTGTCACTTTTCAAGATATGCTGCACTTATCATAATCACTAACTATGTACATATGTACTTCCTTTGTTCATTTCAGCATCTAGATTTAATTCGTCACCATCCATCACACCCTGAGTTCGAACATTCTAAGAATAATTATCCGGCCATGGCTGGATTTAAAACTAAATATGGTCAATAATTACCTGAAAAAGATCAAGCTAGCAACGTAAATGGGTTGGGAAATGCATGGAACGGCCGGGAAGACGTACGTCATCAGTGGCTGAGGTTATGATCGATGATGTACTTCATACATTTTATATTTCGTGCCTTTCTATGAGTCTACAGTATAACTAGTAGCTGTCCTTTTCCTCTTCTCTTTTTTTTTTCTCTCTCTTTCATACAAGCGACAATGTTGCAATTTCCACAAGTGTTATGGCCATTTTTTGTTTTGTTATCGAAATAAATAATAAATAAACGATAATTAAGATCGGTCTAGTTGTGATTAGGGTGCAAATGTCTCGGTTCGGTCCGAACCAAATTCAGGAGAATCGCGATCAAGGACCAATGGTGAAATACATCTTAGGACCAAGGGCTGGATCAATAATGCATTTGATCCGGTTTGGTCTGGTCCAAATGTTAACTCGATCAATTTTTCTTTAGTATTTATAAAATTCAAGAGATCAAGGAGCGGACCATATTATATTCAATTCGGTATGGTCTGATTCAGTACGATTCGGCACGAACCAACCTATTGCACACCCGTAGTTGTGATATCAATGCATATCTTAGGATAACCCTTGAATTTGGAACTTCTATTCGTTACGAGGACCAAATTTTTACCCTTACCAATATCCAATTGGGTGGTCGAACCCACCAATCCACCCAAAATCACCCACAAATGACCCACCCATTATGTTGTGGGTGGTTCATATGGGTGGGTGCGGGTTCTAAAATAGGTGACCCACAAAGGTTTGGGTGGGTGCGGGTGGATTAAATTTTGGAATATATGTTATAAACCCACCAAATGCACCCAATCGCACACCATCCGCAATCACCCAACCCACCCACAAGTACATGTTGGATGGGTGTGGGCCATCTTCTTCTTCATCCACCATGTAATGGGTGGATCCAAATCCACCCAAATTCGCATAAACTCACCCACTACTCACCCATGCCAATGGGAAGCCCGCAAACGTAATTTAGACAACCACAACAGTCCTTCTGATAACCACCACATGGAATTTGAAATTTTTTCATCAAAATAAAAAAAAATTAAAATATCTAGTTGTCTCTCTGAACATTTTAAATATAATATATATATATATATAATCACATACGGATTATTATTTTAAAAAAGATGTTAGAACATCCACATTAATGAAATTTCTAAGCCAATTGTATATATGATAGAACCTGGAATTAGGGTTCTATCGAGAATTGGAGATTTAGGGATTAAGAACAGAATTAGGGATTTGAGAAGAGAAAGATAGGGAATCGGCCTAGGCCTTTAGAGGGATTGAGATCGAGAATTTAGAGGATTGGGAGAATAGGGTTTAGAAAGTCTTTTCTTAATATCTGCTTGTCTTATTCTGAATAAAACGCAAAGTACATATTTATAACGAAAGACTGGAAAAACCTAATAGACTATCCTAATATGACTCAATGACTACTACCATATCTAATAATATCCTAATTATAGTAATTATGAATAAACCCGGAAATTGGGTTTCTATCATCCCCTCCCCCTTCAAACCAACCTTGTCCTCAAGGTTGACCGACTTGACCCATTTCTTCAACCTATTTCCCGTGTAGATCGCGCATTGTCTCCTCCACTTCTTGCGCTTCCTTTTCTTCCAATCATGCTCCACTACTCGAATGAAGTCCACTCCCGTGACTCCGACTCCAATGGCCTCTTCTCAATCCACGTGGCTCAAATGGCAACCATGGCCAAATGACCCTTTATCCTCCTCAAACTCTACAAAATAAGGATCATAGATTTCTTCTTCTTGGAGCCCATCATCTAAGCCCATGAATCTATCTTTCTTCCCTTCCATGTCCACACAATATAAGATAGACTCAACTAAACAACATAATTTGGGCTCAAGTTCTCTTTTAGGCCCTAGCCCATAAGTTCCTTGAAAACTAAAGAATCTGCTCGGCCCACTTAACTCTTAAACTCTGCTTGCTCAACTGATCTGTCGGGCCCAGGATGACTCCAGCAGCCTTCATTTCCTCAGTTGGGTCCGGCCCAACTCCATTAAGAAGACATCTAACAAGACAACCATTTGGAATCGGCCCACCACTCTCTCTCTCGGCCCACTTCTTTCTTGGCAGCAGCCCGAAAATCGGCTCACCCTGCTGCTTCTCTCGACCCAAATCAAACCCAGCAACCACCTTCTTCTTTGTCGGCTCGCAACCCAGGCCGACCTAGCCCACTCCATATAAAATAACCCATGGAAGATCTCGGCTCAGCGAATGCCCCCACCTCTGCTTGGTCCAATCCACCTCAAATTGCCTACCACATCTCAGCCTACCACATCTCATTTGCTTTGGCCCAAGCGCTAGCCAACTTTTCAGCTTCCCAAGGCCCAAAACGAGCTCAGCTGGTACTCCTTCTCTTGCCATTCTAGGAATCAAGCTTGGGTGATTCTGGCCCACAAAGTGGCCCAATGGATCATATGACTGTTGGGTTGAGTGGGGCAAAAGTGGCGCCCTAGGGTTTTCGCCAAGAGGAACCCAACCGCCATCTTCGTTCTTCGCCTTCTTCCTCCTCGTCGCGCTGCCCGCCGCCGAGGGTTCCACCCGGCGGCTGCGAGTCACGGCGAAATCCGACGCCGCCTGCATCCCTCTTCTCCGTCAAGTTCCCCTACAACCATATTCCGCTGCCACCTTCGACTTCGCTTCCTCATCAAGCGGCGGTCCACAGAGGAAAGAGTATGCGCCACCACCTTCCATCTTCATCCTTCCACTGGACGACAAACCACCTAGCTGACAACTCGGAGACCAGCTCGCCTCCGTGCTTGCCTTCTTCTCCGGCTCCCCCTGGTTCGTCGACACGAAGAAGTCCCTCGCGGCTCATTGGCCTGAGCTCGCCGCGATTCTCGTCTCCGGCAGGGAAACCGAGTCGCCCTCTGATTTCTTCTCCTCTCGCAGCGAGTCCGATCCCCATCTCGTCGCCGATTCCTTCTTCACCTCGATCTCTGATGACGAATCCTCCAGCCAGCGGCTAGGAGATCTGCTAGCTTTTGGCTTATCTTCTTCTTTTTCCGACCTGCCCGTCTCCGCCATGATCAAAGCCCAGTTCGTCGTCTCTATCACGGGAGCCACTCCACCAGGCCCCGATTTCATCTCTTCATCAGCCCTCGCCACAAATGGCTCTGGTTGCCCTCTTCGCGGCTCCGGCGGCTTCAACCAGTGACCTGCGATCGGCGATAGGACCGGCGACGGGAGATCGGGCAACACAGCAGCCCCATGTTCCCCTTCGTCAGACTTCGAACCTTTCTTCCGAAACCGCTAATTTGCAGCGCAACTCGGCGTTGATTTTTCCTCCGAACCTCCCTCGTGCAATTCTTCTTCAGAGGCGATTCCCCCCCTTTTTTAATGGAACAGTGGCGGAAGTCCCATGGCCTCCTTCTTCCTCTTCAGTCAGGCCATACTTGCCTTTTGTTTTATCTTCCTCAAAGAAGAATGCGACTCCAATCGCTGTAGTAGGCACCACCGCCTTGTCAATTGACAATGGCGTCTTCTCCAATGACACGACAACACCGGCAGGAGCTAACTCCACGACAGCAGGGGCTTCTACGACTGCGTCGTGAAAGGCAGGGGCTTCCGGGTTGGGCTTCGCTGCTGATGCTACCAGCCCTTCTTTCGCAGTGGGTCCGTCCTCCTCCTCCGCGGCCGCTGCTGTCCACCCGCGATCTCAGGCCTCCTGCTTGAGCTCGGCCAAAGTGAATTCGATCTTCTGTCTTATGCGAGCCCATGCCGGATCGATGAGCTGCGAAGAACTCATGTTGGCTCTTGTTCGCGCTAACAAGGGATCGATGAGCCCTTGTTCGCGCGCGACGCGGGCTTGGTCAGTCAGCCCTTATGGCGTCAATCCGTTGTTGCACACAGGTCCAGTCCAAATCAGAGAGTCGTATCGAGCTCATTGAGGCTCTGATACCAAATGATAGAACCTGGAATTAGGGTTCTATCGAGAATTGGGGATTTAGTGATTAAGAACAGAATTAGGGATTTGAGAAGAGAACGATAGGGAATCGGCCTAGGCCTTTAGAGGGATTGAGATCGAGAATTTAGAGGATTGGGAGAATAGGGTTTAGAAAGTCTTTTCTTAATATTCTGCTTGTCTGATTCTGAATAAAACGCAAAGTACATATTTATAACGAAAGAATGGAAAAACCTAATAGACTATCCTAATATGACTCAATGACTACTACCATATCTAATAATATCCTAATTATAGTAATTATGATAATTATGAATAAACCCGGAAATTGGGTTTCTATCAGTATATGTGGTTCCCCCATTACCACTCATTTTTTTTACAACACAATTCATGTTGGTTATTTGGAGGTTTATTTGGAGGTTTACTTTAGATAGATCTTTCTCTGCAATGAAAGGTTATTTGGAAAATATATTTGGGTTTCTATCAGTATATGTAAAAGGTTATTTGGAGGTTTACTTTAGATAGATCTTTCTCTGTGAGTTCATGTTATATATAAAGCTTTGAATGCGAGCTCTAGATTCCTAATTATACCATACTTTAATCGTCGTCTAGTATGCAGATCATTTATTCCTTCAAAGATTTCGTACTTTGTGTGTTAATCATGCGCATGATGCTATTGTGGCTGTGAATAATTTGCAGAGAAGAGAGTTTATGGTCACTAATTGGTGTGTTATGTGTAAGTAGAGTATATAGTGACTTTCTTCAAATAACTCGATTTTATTCCGAATATGTTGGACTCTGAAGAGAACCAATTTGCACATCGGACAAAACGACATTCATACGCGCTGCGATCGATCGAGCAATAAAGCTAAGTCCGGCCGGCAACTGTTTATTACACGTACACAAAGTCTACACGATCTTCAAATTCACCCTAGCTTGCTTTTGCTTTTGCTTCTCTTCTTTTCTTTTATGGAACCCTAATTACTATTCTTGTTTCCGCTAAAGGAGCCAGTCGATCTCCGATCTGTAAAAGGGCATAGATTATCATGGGACCCTGCAGAGACATTAAAATGTTTCGTTAACAAATTCTGTTCAACATAATAACATAAAATAAAATAAAAAAAAGGATGAGGGGTTCGGTACTTACAGTGTGTAGGCAACCTTGACAAGCCCAGCCCGAGGTCTTGCGATCTGCGCGAAGGCTTCCGCCGACAACACGAACGTGGAGCAAGGCTCGCCGTCGGCTTCCACCGTGCAGCTGTCGGTAACGGTCACCGTGACGGTTTTGGTCCTTCTGCAGGGCGAAGGCTGTTCGGGGTCCACGGCGCCGAGGCAAGTAACGCTGTATTTTGTGCCGCAGATGTCCCCGTTGCCGTACAGGGTCTCGTTCAGCCCTGTGAACATCTTGATTTTCGGCACTTTGTCGGTGCACGATTGTTCTGGACCGACGGGCAGCAGATTTATTGGGAAGAATTAGTATCTTAGTCTTTCATGATGATCGAGAAATCTTAGTATGCGGATTCTGGCCGGCAACTCCAATATAAGCAGTCATACTCTAAGTGCGCAGTGGATTGAACGGCTTAAGGAATACTGGCTAGCAAAATCTTGGTCGCTAACGAATTGAAGTTACTTTTTCGTAACGAATCGCGTTACCAAGAAAACTGGTCACTTAGTACTTTTTGGTGACCGATGTAAATGAGCTTTAGCAACCAAATAGACTCGTCACCAAAAGTTATTCCTCATTTTCGTTACCAATCCAGAAAAGTAACAGGGGAAGTGGGGAATAATATTTGACGTGAGACCTGAGAAGTGTGAATGATCAAGCTGCAACCCGAAGTTTCGCGGGGTTGCGAATTGTAAATCTGACCAATATTTAACTTAATTACGGAGACCACTGGTCACGAAAAATCCTAGTTTTTTCGTAGTGATAATGCTTGATTAATTAACTCGTCATAAAGGGTAGGGTGTGAGCGATGTATATGGTAAAGAACTTACTCGAATAAGGAGAACTGGTGAAGCTAGCAATGCCGGTCTGTGCCAAGCTAACGGTGGTCGAGGAGAGCAGCAGAAGCAGGCTTAGGAGCAAGAAAGAGCAGTTATGGGCTTCCATGGCGATCGGCAACAGTTACTGAAGGAAGGAGCTTAATTTGAGAAGAGACAGAAAGATTAGCAGGTTAGATTTTGTGCTGTGGGATACTGAATATGATAATCACTTCATCATTTGCCGAGCTATTTGTAAGGGGGAAAGCTGGAGTAGGTTAAAATATTGACTGATGATGATGATCACAACGTTGAGACTTGAGAGTTTATCATCCAAACGTAACGTTTACCACTAAGCAACGGTGTAAAGTGTAAACTATATGAATCCATTGGGATCGACGTCGAGAATTTCGGCGTGATGCAAAAACTGGGTGTGATCATTTTTCAGAATTCTAAATGAAAGGGCTAGAAACTTACGCTTAGAGAATTTGAAACTGATGGTAATTTATTACAAAATTTATACGAAATGTTACATGATTTTGAAAGTTGAGATGGACTACAGAGCCTCGCAGCCCATCACACATGAATCAGCCACTGACCGTAAATGTTAATAAAGATTTATGGTCTGGATACATACAGGTAGGGATGATAATTTTGATTCAAAGTTCACTATTTTCATTCGTCCATTAATAAGCCAACTAATTAGGTTCATTTAAATCTAATTTAATTAATTCAAATCTAATGGATGGATGAATTCATAGAAGCTTACATGCTTTTGTGCCTTTATATTTAATATCTTATAATTCTAAACATTTAATAATAATTCAAAGTTTAGATATCATTTGAATCTAAAAATTCAACGGCGAATTCAAGAATCCATGAATTCATTTAGGGTGCGTTTGGATAAGTGTATTTTAAATGTAAGTTATTTGGAATACTAGCATTTGAAATGGATGTATTTGAAATATTAGCATTTGAAATACATGTAATTCAAATTCATTGTTTGGATACTCATTTGTAATTTGTTTGTATTTTGTATTTTATGATTTTGAATTTCAATTTTTAAATTTCTGGTCACTTACTACAAATTTTGGTAAATTACAGTTTGGTACCCAAATTTATTTTTTTTAACACTTTAGTACCTAAAATTTTAAAATTTTACAAAAAGGTCCTGAAATTTTGATGGTAAAATTACATTTTGGTACCTTTATATGTTTTGCCTCGCACTATAGTACCTAAACTTTTCATATTTTACAAATAAGTCCATTCTTTTGTTATAGTATTTCAAATCACTAGTTGTTGAAATGTATTTGAAGTTGACAAAAAATACACTAGAGATGTATTTGGAAATCACCCCATGAATTTGACACAAATCCAAATACCAAATGTAATTAATATCCAAACACATGATTTAGTATTTGGAATCCAAATCACAAATACCAAATCCAAATCATTGTATCCAAACGCACCCTTAGTTAAATCAATGAATTTAATTCTCTTGCCGCCTGCACATACTAGCAGTCACGGGATTCTAATACACTATACTAGTTGGCGATGGGATCGATGGAAGAATACTATTAAACAAATACATTTGTTACGAGAGAGGAGTCCTTCAAGATTGAATTATCTTAATTCTATTACTTTGTAAAATGAATATAATTAATTAACCCACTCTTTTTGGTTGAATATATATACTTGATAGCTCTGCTAAATTAAATTTAAAAACCGATAAGTTGGTTTATTGGTCATTGTTTCTCAAATTTATCTAAAGTACTTGTAATAGGTGCCAATTATTAGTTTATAATACCCAGCTGCCAGCTGAGTGGTTTATGAAAATGCCCGTCAGATGTGAATCGGACCGCACTTGTCACTCCAATCTATGTCCTAAAACATCCAGAATGTTGATTGCAAAACAGTTTTCATTAATTAAAAATGTGGTATTTGTAGAGTCAAATAACTCATTAATTATTCATGTAGTATTTCAATGTTTTTTCAGTGGTATTTGGATTAAGGTATCTCATTTGGTTGAACCATGCACATGTAGTATTTGACATGTGGTATTTGAAAAAAGCACAAAGGCAAAATGAGTTATTTGAAATAGCTAGGTTGCAGGAGTTATTTTAAATAACCGTTTTTAAGTTATTTGTAGATAACTCACAGTCTAAATAACTCATTTGAGTAAAATGCTGTTGTTTATGCCTGGAAAGTACCGGGCGGTTTGTGAAGCTCACTGACTCCGTGCGGTCTTGGGGGGATGAGAAGCGACCTTCGAAGTCCTGCAACAAAGGTCCTCAGGGGAGCCCTGGGACCTCCTCCGATGCCTAAGTTAGTGAGAGAAGTAGGTAGAGTGAAATAGAGAGAGAATGGGGTAGATAGGAGTTACCATAAATGTGACCCATGAGTTGGTATTTATACTAGCGGACATCGGGAAGAGGACAATCAAACCCTTGTCGGGCGCCCGAGGTCGCATAAGGACCTGTTCTCAGGAGGCTGTCAGGACCGTACCTTTGTCAGCCTCCGTACTGAGATGTCAGAGAGACGTTAGGCCCCAGTGTCGGGCGGTTTCCGAGAGTTCCGTTGGGGACGTGTCAGGCGGTTCTTTCGAGGAGACCGCCTTAGGACCTCTCGTTAGTGTGCTCTGGGCTTATTAGGGCCGGGCTCGATTGTTTTGCTGGGCCGTTTTAGTGGTTATGGGCTTGGTGGCCCATCTATCTTAATGATTGGCCTAACATTTGCCCCTTAGGCGTGAGAGGCTTTTGGGCTTTCGCGGCTAACCGACTATCTTGCCATCATTAAGCGGTTACATGGACGCCATGCCCATGACCACTTATCTGCCCCTGGCCGCGAGGGTGCGAAGCGGGAACGCCTTAGGGGCGGTTTTATTGCTCTGGCGGTCTGTGCCTTGCGACGATTGTCGCCACGTGTTGATCCTCGATCGTTGCGCCCTGACGTGACCAGGCGGACGTCACTCTGGTTGGCTTGGGACCCGAGGCTTACTTTAAGTAGACTTCGGGGGGGGGGGGGGGGGAACTTTTCCGCCCTTTCAGTTGCCTCTTTGGGGAATAGTTCGTCTTCTTCCTTGCTTCGATCTGGAGAAACTCTGACTCCCCTCTCCGCCGAGTACCTATATAACTCCAACGCCGCACCAGGTATATTTTTTAGCGCCTCGTTTCCTTTTTTGTGTGCGGGCTTCATCACTGACCTCTCGCCTTCTTCGTTTTTCTTTGCTTCTGGGTTGGTCGCGGGGCGCGACACTGTTGTGCGAATTCTTTCGGCGGAAACGACGGCGCCGATTTCCTGCTCGCTAGGTGATGTCGAGCGAGGACAGGACACCCTCTCTCGTTGTGGGAGATGAGGAGGTCGTTATTACGGCCGAGGCGTCCAACGCCGGCCGTCCTCTCGCCGCCGTGCTCGAGCCTAATCCGACGGCTCCGGTAGTGCCGCCCTCGTCTCTCGCTGTCCTTAAGAAGGTCGCGGGACCCTCGGGCGTGACCGCTTCAGTTATGCAAGGTATGACTCGCTCTTCTCCCACTCGGACCGCCTCTGAGTGCGTGTGGGATTTATCTGAGCTAGAATTGTACGTTGGGAGTGGTTCTGAATTACACGACTGTTTCGTCAGTCTCTCTTTAGACTTAGATAATTCTTTTGCTAACATCCGCCCTGTACCAGCTGGGGGTATGGCTACTTCTTCTGCGGTTGGGGATAACATGGGTGGTGTGGGGCGGGTAGACTTAGGTAGTATATCTTTGGATGAAGACGAGGCGGTTGATAGCGAGGGTGTGCGGTCTGAGGCGCATCCGAGCACGTCATCCTCTTTGGAGGTATTGGATGTCGAGGAAGGGGAACCGCTCTTGCGTGCTATTGCAGATCCTGTGCATACGGTTCTGCGGTTCGAAGGGATGTGGGGCGGTCAGGATGTTCCCGCTGATGTGCTTAAGCTGGGTCCTGCTCACACGGCGGGTTTTAGGCCCGAGCAAGTCCTGTATCGCCTGAAGTCGCTTAACCTTCCCTCAGATTGGGACTATGCTACTCCTTCGCGGGGAAGTCGTTCTGGGTCTTGTCCAACTGGGTGGATTCCCATTCACGTGGAACAGGTGAAGTTGGGATTGCGGTTTCCCTTAGACCCTATCCTGACTGAGACTCTCCTCTGGATTGGGTGTACTTTGGGTCGGCTTTCTCCGACGGTTATCTTTCATTCGGCGATGTACCGTTGGGCGTGTGACCGCCTTGGAGAGGAGCCCTCCTTTGACGCTTTTCGTCTGATATATAAAATTCGTGATTCTACGAATTGTTGGTCGATTGGGAGGCGTGATGGTGCTATTGGCCTTGTTACCGGGGCGCCGAAGCTAGATTCTCCTTGGTACAAGGAGTATTTCTTCGCTCGGCCTTCTTGGAAATGGTACTCGGATGATGTGGAACCGCCG